TATATATATATATATATATATATATATATATATATATATATATATATATATATATATATATACATGAAAGTTACTATTTTAGTAACTAATAGGATGTTTCAACAGCGATTACGCAAGCATTCATAAACATAATATATCGAAAAAGGAACTTTATAACATTAGAATATCTTACTTTAAATCAAATGAGTCTCACTCGATATAATTTTAATTACTTTGACACCGCAAAACTTAAAGATTTTATCTCTATTCCACTCTAAAAAAAGGCACGTAAAAGATTTAATTGTTGCCACTTTTCCGCGATGCTGATTGGTTCTCTTGTTTAGCTCATTTCATGTGGGCTGCGGCTTGCTTTGTGTCGTTTATGTCTGCCAAATTATCTGTCATTGCGTTGATTAGCTCATGAAGAAAAGAATACAGAAGAAATATAAATTATAAGAATAGAAAAATAGAGAATAGAAGCGTAGAGAAGAAAAACGTAAAAGAAAGGGCAGATGAAGAGAGAAGCATATTATTTAGGCAAAAATAAGTGTAAGAATAAAGTAATTTTATAAAATTAATTTAAAAGATGATTGTAATGATAAAGATGTTAGCGCGCGCTTGTAATGTTCTAGTTTCTTAAAAATAAGAATAATACAGAGGATCTCTCAGACTATACACAATCGTAAGTCTTTTAATTATGAAAACAATTGAAAACAATTCAACTAAAATTGAATAATTAACTTTCACCAAACTTTTTTGCTGGCAACTAACTCAAAAACAACTAACTTTATTTGGTTTTTCCATCTCATTATCGCTGTTAACGTCGAGATTATCTCCGGGAAAACATCCCCGCATCACGACGTCAAAGTTAAGAGGGACGTCAAGTTACTCAATGCCTCCAGCTCTGACTTTCGCGATAAGAGTATTCGCTTCACTTTTATTCATACGACCGATTGACTCTCATTGACGTTTATAATCCCGGACTTTCTACCGACAGACATCCGCAAAGTGAAGTACTTACTTCCGACTGTGTCATTACATACGGGATCACGCACAGCACAAAGCATAACAAAATCGTCCAAGACTTCATCTTGAGTGTCGTTCTTTGATCGTGATCTTGATGTTTGCTCGTCGTTTAAACTCAATTGCCTCGCGTCATCCAGAAATCGACTTTATATATACAAAATCTTCGAAATGCACGATTAAGTTACGAAATGTTACGTTGCTATCACGCAAATGTATTTTTTTCTATACATTTGTATAACGACAAAGTTATCTTTGGTTCACGCAGAAGGGTAAAGGTGAAATAAATCAATGCTTTTCGAGAGCATTAGCGGCAATATCGACAGAAGGAAAACGTTAAATTTATATCAACAATGTTACACATATAATAGTTTGAGAAAACGATTCACAAAGAATCACAAGGAATTCCGCAGAAAAATCAATATTTTACCTACAAGTTACACATTTGGAAACTTTACTGACCTAATATCCACTTTTTCCACAAAATTTACGTTGTATCGTGGCTTCACAAAATTATATATATTTCTACACAATAAAAATGCATGTGAAGATGACCTGAAACACATTGCTTTATATGTATAAATATAATACATATACCACTTTTTGTCATATATATTGCGATAAAATCCCGTGCGCCAAATCTAATCACACACGAAGCTCGAGTCCGCGATGACGTTGATCGTTACGAATCCACGACAATAATATCGAGCGATTTCGCGCCACTGTTATCTCAGTATTCTAAGAAAAGCGACTACCAAGCAAACCTACCCAAAAGATACACTCCAATTTCTTTCTAATTTGGCTCAAATCCCTTATAGAAAAATATCACTGGCTGTGATAAATTAGCCAGTAATAAATAGTAATTTTATTACTCGTACAAGTAATAAAATTATTGAACGACAGTAATTATCACTGGCCAAATTATCACTTATCAGTATTAAATTTCTATAAGAGATGTAGAAACACAAAAAATATTTAACATTCATATTTCTTCATTTTAGCTCGCTTTGAATTTCACGAGTAGTTTATAACTTTTTAATGTTCTCACTCCTATCATCAAGTACAACAAAAATGCATAAGAAATAAAATTGAATACAAGATATAATTGAATAATTTTAACAAAATCGGCACAGTTGAGACACAAACCCTTCTAAATTTCTTTAGCCGAGATTCCAACCGAAATATTTCAAATCTGTGCTAAATTAGTCAAAAATGGTTCGAATCTCGGTCAAACTGAGAAATTATTTGTATAAATTTTTTTCCAACTTTTTACATGTTTTGTTTAAACATTTTATTATTTATACAAATAATTTTACACATTTGACTTTATATTCAGAATCAGCAAACCAAAAACGTCTATATCTTGTATTCAATTGTATTTCTTATGCATTTTTGTTCTTGTTGCCCTTATAGAAATATCATACTAAGAATCATTAATAATTACTTATTTTCAGTATTAAAAATACTGAATAATAAGTAATTATCAATGATTCTTAGTATATTTCTATAAGGGTGATGATTGGAGTGAGAACATTAAAAAACTATAAACTGCCCGTGAAACTCAAAGTGGGCAAAAATGAAAAAATATAAGCTAAATATTTTTGGATATTTGTACCAAATTAGAAAGAAATCGGAATGTACCCTTTGGGTAGGTTTACTTGTAAGTATTGTGTACAGATAATACTCGAATTGAAGTCACCACGAAGCCTTCGATTGGTATAAAATTTCGTCTTCATAATCAAGCTCATATTTAATTCTTCGCCGTCGCATACATCAATATGGAATTCCCACTGGTCGCTGTAAGAATATAATGTAAATAAAATCTCCGTAAAATATAACATAAAAAGAAGTAGTAACTGTGTGTAATCAGTAAAGATGAAATGATTATTCATTATTTCTCTCTTTATTTTTAAATTATACGTCGGATTAAAAGTTTTCAAGGAACATCCATTTTCCTCTCTATTTTTTACCGTTGAAAGGATAAAGCGCCGAGCATGTTCCTAATGACGGTTGCGCGTCCACCTCCCCTTATAGAAATTTAATACTGATAAGTGATAATTTGGCCAGTGATAATTATTGTCGTTCAATAATTTTATTACTCGTACGAGTAATAAAATTACTATTTATTACTGGCCAATTTATCACAACCAGTGATACTTTTCTATAAGGGTCATCAAAGTAATATTTCTCATCACCGATGTCAGGTAGGACATTTTCGATTCGCCAAAGTCATGTTCCAAGCTATTTATGGAGATGTGCACGAATACTATAAAGCAAAAACCGTGGGTATTCGTTGTCAATAGAAGCGCCGAATTTGCTTTCATTTACGTTGACTGACAGAACAAATAGTTATTAGTTATAGTTATAGCGAGGTAGTTATAGACATTTGTGATCTCACTTTAACTTATGTCACCAGTTCAGCAGTGCAGCTGAAAAGAACCCTTATAGAAATATCATACTAAGAATCATTGATAATTACTTATTATCCAGTATTTTTAATACTGAGAATAAGTAATTATCAATGATTCTTAGTATGATATTTCTATAAGGGAACAGTCCACTTCATATTTTTTTAATACTTTAATGTACAAGCAAAAACACTACAATGTTGGAAAACGATTGGATAAGACATTTTTCAAAAAAAAATTCTCGAAAATTTCTTTATTTTTGGCTGGTCTTCCCTCTTAAAAACAGCGGGTTTTTTTATATATACAATTTGATTCAGATACCGCCACGAACATTACATTTTTACGAAATAAAAAGTTAAATAAATTTTATTAGGTAAAAGTCAGTGAAATTAAGATGTATGAAGTAGTTGCTTAACTTGCTCAATTATAAATTAATTTAAATTTAATATTTAGGATGTTCAAAATGTTTCAGTTATGTATAGTTATATATAGTTATGTTCATTTAGGAAAATTTTGTAAGGATAATAAAATTGCACATAGTAATACGTAGTTACATATCAGAAATGTCGATTTATAAGCTAAAAAATGCAACGTATGATTTCTGAATATACATTATTCGACTTATATAAGACAAATAATTGACTCATGAAATATTTTCATCATGTTATAAAAACGCCTACATTTATATCTACGTCTTTGGTTTGGTTTTCATCTTTCTCTTCAAACCACATCTAGCTATGATCTTTTCACGAAGTAGCAAATATGGATTCGGTGATTCCGAAGCAGTTACTGGCACTCCTGCAAGTCGACGTAACTTTGGAGACAACAGGGCTAGATTTTGTAACAGACCAAATGCACTACTAGTCGCCCAGTATAAGCTCACACACTACAAAAGAAGCATTTAATTAAAATTATTTTTTGTAATATGATTCAATTAAAATAATCAATTTTGTGACAGAATTTTTTTATAACTTACCGATGGTACATACATAGCAATAGGAACCATACCAATGGTAACAATTCTGAAGAAATAAGTCATGTATTTCGTGAATTTTGTCATTTCTTTTATCCTATTCATATAAGTTAGCTGCAGAATTATACTAAATTAAAATTATGTTAACACATTACTGGTATATATTGGTTTCCATGTTTTTTCTATTATACTTAGAAAATTTACCTCTATAATAGCTAAATTAAATAATCCCATTGCGATTGGAAGCACAAAGGGGTCTGCTACAGTCAAATTTGTGATCCAAAGAAATCCATCAGTTGTAAATTCCTGATAAGTAGCATAAGCACCTAATTTGGAAAAAAATATATATATGTACATATAAGTGTGTGTGTGTGTGTATACATATAATTCCTGCCTTACTTTAGTATTATCATACTTACTGGCATCTTGTTTAGGTAACATATAACATAAATTTCTGATAGATATTGACAATGACACCCATAAAGGTACTTGCACTAGCACCAATATGTTAGTCTTTGCTGGATGACAATTCTCTCGAACAATTAAGTTGTTCCATTGTTTCTTCATCTATAACCAAAGTATCAAAAATATACATTTATTGCACACAAATAATTAATAATTATCGTAATTAGTTGTAATGACACATGTATATGGGTGTTGTTACAACACCCATATGGGTATAAACACAAACAAGCAGAATAATATTACCTACAGAATGAGCGTATAAATGTGTAGCATAGTCTCTTGGCCACTTATACAAATAAGTTCCATAATTTGTTTCCTTCTTCATTTGTTTAGCTATCTCATTCATCTCTAGCTTGAGGTTTTCCAATTTTCCAATTATATTTTGCTTAAAAAATTATTATAATTATTATTATTGTGATAATCACACAAAAGTATACTTATTAAGTATACATATTATAATAATATATTTTATACATATATATTACATATACTACATATTATAATTGTGATATTCATATACATATATACCTGATAAAAAGATAAAGGCAAAGTCACTGTTGTCCTCATAATAACAGTGGAAAGTACAATAACTAACCACCATGGCAAACCTGTATAATCATGCACCCATAATAAGAAGTCTTGAACAATTTTAATAGGCATGCTCTCTGATAACGTTTTGAAAATGCCACTGAATTGCATTGGAACTTTCATTTCAGAGACAAAGTCAATGCTAGTGCTTGAAAAATATCTGATACTATTATAACTTTGACTATCATGATAAGTTTTATGTTCTATATGCCTCTCTCCATTACATAAAATGACAGAAGAAAAAATCCAACGGTATTTCAGATGATGAGATATACAGGAAACATTACTATGCCGTATTGAACTATATTGTTTTGTTATTATATTGTTTAGTGACACTGGCTGTTCACGATTATGGTCTAAATTGTGTGCAATATTTGCACAGGACATACTATAATTGTTGCATACAGAATGAAATAATGTTCTTGGTAGTATCTTAAAATAGTTGGCATTATTAATATTAATTCTGTATGCACTGGTTTGTTTAAGCTGTCTTAAGAAAATATTTTGTAACTTAGTTTTGTTCATTATGTTCAAGTAGTCAAAAAACAATTTATTATTTACACTATATACAATGTCACTTTTGACACATTTGTATATACTTATTTATTATTTAAAATAAAAATCTTTGTGTATAATGTTGAGAATATTTTCATACAGTTGATAGAAACCACATCACACTACTGACTACTGTGAGATAAATGTGAGGTTACAATTCACTGTAAAATTAAGTTAGGTTCGAGAAATATACAACGTTTTTGATACGTCAGTCTTTATTGTGAACTAAAGAAATAGTAATTTATATATTAATACACAGATACAAGCATATATAAATTTATTATTATATATAAGTAAATATAAATATACTAAACAAAATAAATATAAATATACTAAACAAAAATTAAAGGATTTATATCTTTTGACCTCAAGGATCATCTACAATAGGAATAAAATATGACTATTGCCCGTTTCTACCAACTTAGTTAAACTTAACCGGCTGGTTATTCTAACAGAATTGACCAATCACATTTCTCTTCGTCAGAATTGACAGATGCGATTGGTTAATTCTGTTGGAAAAACCAGCCAGTTAAGTTAACCAAAATTGGTAGAAACAGCCATATAATGCAGGATTCACACTGCCCGATATCCGACATACGACGTCCGATATCCAATAAGAGAACAGCTTTCCAATGGAAAATTGAATTTTCTTATTAGAAAGCTTTTCTCCTATTGGATATCGGACGTCGTACGTCGAACATCGGACGCGGTGTAAATCTTGCATAAGGGTGCGTTCAGTGGTGGGATTATGTTAAAATAATAGCAAAGAAATAGAAAGAAGTTCTATCTATACAATCACGTGTGACAACGACGAATCGTTACACGACAAATCGTTGCACGTGATTGTACAGACAGGAAATTTTTTTCCATTTCTTCGTCTATTTTTTACATAGTTCTACCATAGATTCCCTACCCAGGTGCGCTCTAATACTAGAAGTACTATAGTATATATAACATATACTATAGTGTTTCTAATAATACAGTGCACCTGGATGAGAAATCTGAACGCAGCTTAAAGGTGCTATTTCACGTGTCGTTCGTCAACCAATGAACGTATCCAAAAAGCTTGTCGTACGACACGTGAAATAACACCCTAAGAAGGGCGTTCTGCTCTTGCAGAGGCGTGTTCAGATTCCCTATCTGGGTGCACTCTAATACTAGAAGTGTGTAGTGTATATAATATATACTGAGTGCTTTCCAGTTGCGTACACTGTGTTATACAAAACCAGTTTATTGGTTGCATATTATCTTACAAGATATTTTAGATAATATGTGACCAATAAACTGGTTTTGTGTACGTGTATGTCAAGATGTGTTAAGCAATTGGAAAGCACCCACTATAGTGTTTCTAGTAATAGAGTGCACCTAGATGAGGAATCTGAACGCAGCCCAGAATGCCAGGGATACTATTCCGTACACGCTTACCGACAACTGTCGGATCGGTAAGCATCGTTGCGCAGCTTTTCTATAGTATAAAAAAGCTGCGTAATGACGTCTATCGATCCGACAGTTGTTGGTAAGCATGTACGGAATATTACCCCAGTGCTGGGATTTTGTAACTCATTATTGAAGTTAACATCAGTTTCGTTATTGTTGCGCAGCTTTTGTATACCGTAAAAAAGCTACGCAACGATAACGAAACTGTCGTTAACCCCAATAACGAATTATAGAATCCCAGTACTGGGGTGCGTTCAGATTCCTCATCCGGGTGCACTCTATTACTAGAAACACTATGGGTGCGTTCCTTTATTTACTGCGAGTACTGACACTATGACGTCATGAAAGTATACTGCTAGTAGCGTTCCGTTTTAACTTCGAGCACTGTCGAGGTGCTGCAAGGTGACAAATAGGAACGTATCATCTTACTGCCACTGCTTTACCTCTCCAGCTGCAGTAGCCGTAGCAGGAAGTGACATCAAAATTCATGACGTCACAAACTTGTCGAAGTGCTTTCGCAGTGCACTGTAACCTATTTAGGAACGCTGTTGGTAGTACTGACAGTACTTGCAGTAAATAACGGAATGCAGCCTATATATATGTTACATAACTATGGATGCGTTCCAAAATGCACTGCCAGTACTGAAAATCTATAGTTCATGTTACGTATATTATAGGATTTCAGTACTGGCAGTGAATTTCGGAATGTAGCCAAGGTAGCACGTGTTTGATCATATATGATTTACTAATATTGTGTTTATCACAATTTTTTTAAAATGCCAGCTCAAGTGAAGAACGGAGTGCTTATATACAAAGGTAGTAATTACCTGAGATACCGTTTATTACTATCAACTTTATCTGGAAAACCAGTAAAAATTACAGACATTAGGACGAAAGATAATGATCCTGGCCTTAAAGGTTAGTTACAATATTATGAGACAATAATACTCATATATATTGAGATTATATATATATATATATATATATATATATATATATATATAATTAATATTCTGTTACATATAATAATAACCATGTTACTTGTGACAGAATATGAGATCAGTTTCATCCGTTTGCTGGATAAACTCACTAATGGCACAAAAATTGAGCTAAATGAAAGTGGTACTAGTATATATTATCTTCCTGGTTTATTATATGGTGGTGAATTAGAGCATGACTGCAGCTTGCAAAGGAGTATTGGATATTATCTAGAAGGAGTTATGATACTTGCTCCATTTTGTAAAAAATCTATTGATTTAAAGCTTAGAGGAATAACTAATAATTCTACAGGTATTATATTGATGGCAATATGTCATTATTAAGTATATATATTTATATATTAGTCATTATTTAATATAATTTATTCAAATAATTCTTTACAGATCTATCAGTAGATAGAATTTTGTCTGCTGGTATACCAATACTAAAGAAGTTTTTAGCTGGTGACAATGAAGTTGTGCTAACTATTTGTAAGAGAGGAGCAGCACCTTTAGGAGGTGGAGAAATACACTTTAAATGTCCTATCAGTCGTAATCTTAAAACAATACAGGTGCTTATCTGGTATATATATTTATATTTTGCACATCAATAATATATCACCGCTAATTTCTTAAAAAATATTAGCTAGAAGACAGTGGAATGGTAAAACGTGTTAGAGGTACTGCATGCAGTATAAGAGTTTCTCCAGCAATTGCTAATCGCATTGTTGAGTCAGCAAAAAGAGTTCTCCTCAACTTTATACCAGATGTTTATATTCATACAGATCACTGCAAAGGATCAGCCAGTGGAAAGTCCCCAGGTATAGTTGAATAATATTAAAATTTGATTTATAATTTAACATTCATTATAGAGGTATCCTGTGTGATCTTGTACATTAGGTTTCGGAGTTACTCTGACAGCAGAAACTACTAAAGAAGTATTCTTCAGTGGACAAGCATTCTCGCCATTAATGACGACGGGTTCATTACCATGTACGCCTGAAGATATTGGTGAAGAAGCTGCAATGAAACTTCTGGACGAAATCTTCAGGTAAAGGAATTGATATTTTTATTGCTTTTTTTAACTTATTTACAATTTTACAAGAACTTTTTATAGGAACGGATGTGTGGACTCTCCTTTCCAAAGTATGACTGCGATGTTTATGGCTCTTGGTAAGAAGGATGTTTCCAAAGTTATAGTAGGGCCATTGACTCCAGCAATGTGAGTGTTGTTTTATTTCATTTTAAATTATACAACAAAGGAAAAGAGCAAATTTTATTGAATTTCAGGATGCAATTTTTACGTGACTTACGAGACTTTTTCGGAGTTGTTTTTAAAATAGAATTGAAAGAAGCAGAAGACGTAGTACTAGAACAAGTACGTTTAACTTGTTTAGGCATAGGTTATACTAATATGAATAAACGAATGTTATAATGTATAAAATATAAAATATATATTTTTACACTAAATATAGAACAAATATATAAGGTTATAATATGTGTGTGTGTGTGTGTGTAAGGATTTTATTAATCCCCTATGAGGTTACAATTTTATAAAATCTTACAATCTATTCTTTTCGCACGTTCCTACCCGCCACACACACACACCTCACTCCCTCCTCCCCCTTTCCTTCCTACTCCTCTTATAACTAACTTAAAAACTATCTTAAAACTAACAAACTAACTTACTACTACCTTATAAAATAACTTATCTAATATGGTTATAACATATAAAACTTGTTTATAAATTTCATTTATAAATTTCTATGAAATCATGATTTTATAATGTAAAATTTTGCAAATTCATTGGTTTACATGGCCAATTATGAAATGTTCCTAGTTTCAATTGTTTCCACTTGTTTTGATATATCGTTGACCATTGCTTCCAATCATAATATGTGATCTTCTTTGGATGCCTTATTTCACTATAGTAATTCTGATACTTATCCAAAACTTGTAAAAAAGTTTGCAAAAGCATTCGTCTACTTGTGAGTAAATTATTACCTTTCTTTTTTCTTGTCACTCCCTGTTTTCTGCCAGCAACTGCCACTTCTAGTGCGCTATATATAAAACCATAACTTTGTAAGTTACACATATATAAAATTAATTAAACATGTATTAAAATATTATAAACTCATTTTTATACCTATTCCTCCCAGCAAACCATATAATACTAGTTGGACAAGGATGTAATCGTTCCTCTCCTCTTTTGTGTACAAAACTGAGTTTTGCTTGAAGGATCTTGGGTCTATCCACTTTATTATTAAATCTTTTATATAATCCACGTTCCATTGCGTCCAGGGAAAAAGGACAATCAACTCCAATTGTAATACTCTCTAATTTTATTGGTGGTATCAGCAATGACAAAAATGATCCTTGCAGTCCAAGGATGAGCCACCTTAGATGTAGATATCATTAGCTTATATGTACAATACAATATTTTTACTTGCAAGTTTTGTAAGTTTATGTAACATACTTTGCTATCTTATCAGAACAAGACAAACTGTTTGTTGGATCTCCTCTGCCTGGTTTAGTACGTAAAGGACCTACTATATGATAATTCATACCAGGCAAGTGAGGGTCCTGTATCTGCTCTGTTTTCACACATTTTGCACCTGTTCTATATATGTCTTTATAAGGTGATTCTGCAATTATATATCCATTTATATCCTCATTAAGTTTTCTGATCTTAGATGGAGGCATATCATCAGAAATTGCTTCTTTGGGAAAAATTGAACAATCTCCACAAGGTGTTTGACTTGAAAAGAAATGGAATGATACACTGCTGTTTAATTCTATCTTATTTTTATCTCGCTTAAAAATTGCATTATCAGAACCACTTAGAGTCAAGTCAATCTGGTCGTACAAATAACACATAAATGCACGCCTAGTCAGAACCTCCGCATGCGAGTCACTTAATCGTGAACCTCTTTCTTCTGCAGAGTTGTTTATTAATTCTAATTCTCCTAAACATTTCGTCCCTGTAGCAAGTGCCACGAGAAACAATGATCCATCAGAATCTTTCTGAATAATGCCAGACAATACAGTCCATTCATGAGTTGTAGGTTTACCAGTTTTTTTTAGAGAATTATACTTCTCTATGCAAAGTTTCGCTACACTGTCTGCAAAGTCTCTCATCGTCTACTATTTTTTATTTATAACTTTATTTGTACATGTATTTTTAGGTGTTTTGTATAAAATAAATAATGCACATGGTACATCATACGATTGGTTTTTTTTGTTTTCTCCAGCCTTCTCCGAGGATATTGAGTTCCGGCTTGCCGTTACGTTAAGATGTGTTCGAACACATTTGGACCTATGATTTTTTTAGAAACGTACCTTTTGGTACATTGAAGAAACGGCCGTAAAGAAAGGTCTAAATCCAAATAAAATAACTAGAGACAAGACAAAAGAGTTCCCGAGGATATTTATGGCTATTAGCACACTGTCCTCTTCTTCCAATATATTTTCTCTTAATCCTTTCAAATCTCTATACCCAAATATTCCTCGGAAATAATTCCAAGGAATTTTCCAAAAAGATCATTGATCGTGTCTAAACACATCTACACGCTATGGTATCTAAACTAGAACACGCGATTCACGCAGAAGTTAAGTTAGGTTATATTTTGATCTAACGTTTCTTTCACTGCCTATAACATAACCACATTTCGTTCGAATTGAAGTAATGTCCACGTTATGTTAGGTCGGCCGCATTATTACTTTAGGAAGATACGGTTTTAAACTTGACTAAGATTAATCTTTCTCAATAAAATGTCAATGATATTTCGGAAAGTCATCAACAAGTTGCACGGAATTACTCATCAAGCGCTAAAATATTGCACAATTGAGAATCAAACGAAAACTCGGGATATCGTGCCGATTTTATCCAAAGTACAATACGACAATGAAAGCTCGTTTTATCAAAAACCTCGGCAGGTGTGGCTGGAAAATTTGGATACTGTAAAGGAAAAGAAATTGGGTTTTATCACTTTACACCCACATATTTTTGCGACTACACCACGTATCGATATCATCCATCACAACGTGAAATGGCAAAGACTGTATCGCTGGGTGGTGAGTATCACTTTTAACGTGTCATGAAATGAAAATGTTCTAATAGATTAATAATGTCCTAATGATTGAAAAACGTTATATATTTTTATTTAATATTTATAGAAAAAATTTGTGAGATCTTGTTAAGAAAGAAATACTTTTTTGTGCCAATTTATTTAGTATTATTTAATAAGTATTCAATCATTGAGTTAATATTATATGGTGATTAGGATCATTCAGTGACAGATTCATTTTTCAGTTTAATTGCTTAATCGAAATTATCTAATATCTCATTAAAATTTTGATTTTTTTTATATTTATATTTTTTATATTTAATTTCCTTTATTATTTCTCAATTACTAACAAAGTTTTACATAAATGTTACATTTGTTATTAATTCTATTAATTATTTATTCACAAAAATATAAAATTGATCGCACTTTTTTGTTAATTTAATTATTGGAACTTTATTTACTTTGCATCACTTATATTTCTCCAATTTTTTTAGTCCTATGCACATGCAAAAACACGTGCTGAGATGAGAGGTGGTGGTAGGAAACCATGGCCACAGAAAGGATTGGGAAGAGCTCGTCATGGAAGTATTCGCTCACCATTGTGGAAAAAAGGTGGACGCGCACATGGTCCTCGTTCTCCTACACCACATTTTTACATGCTACCCTTCTACACTCGCGTGGCAGGTCTTACATCAACTTTGTCTGTGAAACTTGCGCAAGATGATCTACATATAGTTGATAACTTGGAGATTCCTACATCAGAACCTTCTTATATCGAGCAACTAATACAGGAGAGGAATTGGGGACCATCTGTTCTCATTGTAGATAGCTACGACATTATGCCTGAAAATATCACACTAGCTACTGATCAAATAAAACATGTTAATCTTATGCCTGTCTATGGTGAGTATTTATGCAACACAATGTATCTATATATATGAAAGATAAATTCTGACATATATATATATATATATAAAAGTATGGTTATGCTAACTGTAGCTTATTATTGATCTATTTTCTTGATAAGCATAGGAAATGTATATTTCATATGAAAATTTAATCAATTTCTTGTACATGCAGGTCTGAATGTGTATAGCATGCTGAAACATAGTACTCTGGTGCTTACAGAAAAAGCAGCCAGGTTAATAGAAGAAAAATTGCTTTACCAAATGAACAGACCAGATAGCAAGCGATTATCAGCTTCATTCAAACTTAGTCAACATTAAAGAACAGCTGTTCCCAACACAATTAACTATTTTTTATATAGATATAGATTTTACACGCTTGCAAGTCTTTAAATATTATTTACGGAAAACTTACTCTACTGTAATTAATATTACTTATTCTACTGTATTACTAAAAAAAATATATATATATATATAATAAAATATAGTCTGATTCTTATCACTTTGATTGAACCAATCTTCATTGACTTCTAAATTTACTCTTTATATTGTCACCTTTTCTTTAATATTGGCATACTTGTAGATTTCCTTGAAAGTGGCTAAGAAATAAAGTATTTTTTAATGATAACACATTTTTGTCATTGTTATGAGATATATAACAATTTGTATCTTACTATAGGATGTGGATCTGCACCAAGCATCTTTTCTCGCACAGCCCATCTTACTTTTAAGTGTTTTGCTTCTCCAGGGAAAGATATCTGCTTCCATTCTTGTTGATATTTTTGATAAAGAGCCACAGGATCACATTTCTTATTAATTACATTTTTCTGGGCATCTGGCTGTAACCTCCATGGTCGAATAACTAAATATAAACAAATATGATCTGAAATCTTTAAAATCCTTAACAAATTATTTATAATATATAACTAATAATTCTATATAGCTAACATGATTTATGTGCAGAATTAACAGATGATCTTGCAGATAATGCACTTTGTGTGCGCACATTTCCAATTGGTTCTGATATAGCACTCTTTGATCGTGACTTGGTCATGTGATCTGATGAAACAGTTTCATTTATTGGACATTTGTGTATTGAAACCACTGGTTTTACTTGCTCCTCTAATCTTGCATTATGATTATATTTCTCTGTTAAATGACTCTCTTTTACTAAATACTTAGACATATTTTGTTTACTTTTACTTTGTGGATGTTTAAAATGATCTTGATGATAAATTCTATCAGATTTTTGGGTGACATCTTTCTTGTGACTTGTTGTTGTCAATTCCTCATTTAATTTTATAACAGTTTCTTCAAAATGTTTTTGATATTGCATATCTTTCTCTCTAGGAATACATCTTATTCTAAGTTTGACCAATGATTCATTATCAAAAGAATTTGAGGATTCAGAAGGAGCAATATTATTTGAATGATAGTCTGTGTTTAAATGTCCTTGAGCTTCTTTGACCAAAGCCTGTTGTTTATTAATTATTTTTGCTTTCATCTCTTCTCTTCGCTGTTGTTTCTCACGTTCTTTTATCTTTCTATAAATCTTTAAATCTAGAAAGATAAATTATAATTATTCTTAATATAACTTCTTTCACAAATACAACATAGTTGCAATAATAAAGCAATATTATTTCAACACTAAAATATAAACAAAATAAGCAAGAAAAAATAAAATATCGCAAGCATTGTTACCTTTCATGAAAGCTTTTAGTTGAGTGGCCGTAATGCCGACGAATCCTAACGAATTCAGAAGAACGAGAACTTCTCGTGGGTCGTCTTTAATTTCCGACATAATTGTGTCAATCTCTTAAAATTATAACTCAAAGTAACGTTGTTTCCTTGATTCTTTTAAATAAGAACCGTTGAGATATCAGTCGGGTACCATAGAATAAAAATATATAGATTAGCGTCATATTTCTTTACATATTTTTTCCTCGGAAATTGTAGAAAATTTTATATCTAATATAAAATAATTTATTTTATTAAGACATTTATATTTTTCTATTCAAAATAATTATTTTTCGTATCTGTATATATATAGTTGATATTCATAAGCTGCGTTTCGACATTCACTGCCAGACTGAAATTCTATAATACATCAAGGCTGTGTCTCAAAACTCGGGTGTATATCAGTTGGACACGGGGCAATTGGACACAGTCCAATCACAAGTGGCTGTTCCAAGGGACCCTACAAATGTCTCTAATCACACGGTGCTGTGATTGGCTGTGTCCAAATGCACCGTGTCCAAGTGCACCGCTCCCTCAAAACTCTACTCGATGGGGGATGGAACCCGATTGATCACGATACGATTGGACACAGATTGTAATGATTGATTCGACCTAGTAATTCACTAGATAATTCTTTTCATCGGTTGGTTGTGTCCAATCGTACCGTGGTCAATCGGGACGCTTCCCTCGATGGATAGAGCAGCATTTAATTCACCAATAAGAACAAAGACAACTAGGATATCTTTATCGCGGTGTGAATCCTGCATTAAAGAATCGAGCCTCAGGGCATCAATCATGAATCTTTTCACGTGAGTTTAATTTTACTATCCATCATATAACTTTTCTCCCTAACATGAAATCGTGAGCAATTTCTAAATATTTGTAATAATTACTATAAACTTGTTTTATTTAATGCACATCTGTATTTATAATGCATAATATACTGATGTAATCTTTTCTTTGTGCAAAATTCTTTATCATATAATTTCAATTTTAAAGATGTATGCAACCATACAAAATAAAATTCACTGAAGCAGTTGTCCACATTGTTTTGAATTGTAGAATACGCGTAATATTACAATTTACATATTTGCGCATGATGATAGTATTATACTATTTTTCACGTTTTAGCTATCAACCGTGTACGTGAAAAGTAAATGTACGTATTTGTAGTATTTATATGGTAAAATAAAAATAATCTAGTGATTTCTTTGTTGGGTGCTAGTCCATGGATGCTTCCGAAATACCCAGAGTTGGGTCGAGTTGAGTTATAGCATGTTCGACTGGCTCTAGGTTAACCCACTCTGGGTTATTCAACCTACGTTTATTGGTCGAACAAGTACTTATAAGTTTTATGATTGGCTAGTAGAGACTTAGACGTCATTAATCGCTCTCGAAGCGATTAACCCAGGGCCAGTCGAACACGCTATTAGTTTTACTATAGTATATGTATTAGGTGTACAACTTTGCTTCCGCCGTTTTCTTATAGATGGCTTTAGCGGTAAGTAGTGGTCGAAATAAATAGATTATAGACGTCATACAATAAACTTGGGCATCTGTCAACATAACCCCATACAAACATTAGTCGATTTGTGTCTGCATCATAAAGTTATTCTTGATTGAAAATGTCAGTTTACGAGCCAAATTATCGTCATTTGCGGGAGGTTTTAATTTTCTGCTTCAATATGAAGAAATCTGCGGCTGAGGCTCATCGAATGCTCTCAAATACTTATGGTGAGGCCACTATTAGTGAAAGAACATGTCGTGAGTGGTTTCAACGCTTCAAGAACGGTGATTTTGATGTCGAAGACCGGCATAGCGGTGGAAGAGAGAAGGTTTTCGAAGATGCAGAATTGGAGGCATTACTTGATCAAGACTCGTGTCAAAATCAAGAAGAATTGGCACGATCATTGGGAATGACTCAACAAGCCATTTCAAAACGCCTCAAAGCCATGGGAATGATTCAGAAGCAAGGAAATTTGGTGCCGTACGAATTGAAGCCGAGAGATGTTGAACGGCGTTTGTTTGCTTGTGAACAGCTGCTTGAAAGGCAAAGACGGAAGGGATTTCTGCATCGCATTGTGACTGGGGACGAAAAATGGGTTCATTACGATAACCCCAAGCACAGAAAATTATGGGGAGTTCCCGACCATGCTTCCACGTCGACGGCCAAACCGAATATTCACGGCTCCAAGGTCATGCTCTGTATTTGGTGGGACCAGCTCGGCGTAGTGTATTATGAGCTGTTAAAAAATCAAACTGAAACAATCACAGGCGATCGGTATCGAACGTAATTGATGCGTTTGAGTCGAGCATTGAAAGACAAACGACCGCAATACAACGAGAGACACGATAAAGTGATTTTGCAGCATGACAATATTCGACTCCATGTTGCAAAAGTGGTCAAGACATACTTGGAAACGTTGAAATGGGAAGTCCTATCTTACCCGCCGTATTCTCCAGATGTTGCTCCCTCTGACTATCACTTGTTTCGATCAATGGCACATGGCCTGGCTGACCAGCACTTCCAGTCTTATAAAGAAGTAAAAAATTGGATCAATTCGTGTATTGCCTCAAAAGATGACCAGTTTTTTAGACACGGGATTCGTACGCTGCCCGAAAGGTGGGAGAAAGTAGTGGCCAGCGATGGACAATACTTTGAATCATAAATGTATAATCAGTTTTTTACAATAAAGCCCTGAATTTCGGAAAAAATGGCGGAAGCAAAGTTGTACACCTAATATTAGATGTACAACTTTGCTTCCGCCATTTTTTTCCGAAATTCGAGGCTTTATTGTAAATTATTATGAATATTCGCATGAGTTTTCACTTTTTCACGAATTCACCCTAGGTGGAAAAATACATGATCGACCCCCTGGGATCTTATTCTCAAAAAATATCGCATACCATATTTTTCGAAAATAAGACCCTGTGCTAGGATTCTGTAACTCGTTATTGGGGTTAACGACGGTTTCGTTATCGTTGCGCAGCTTTTTTACGTTATACAAAAGCTGCGCAACGATAACGAAACTGTCGTTAACTCCAATAGCAAGTTACAGAGGCTGTGTTCCGAAATTCACTGCCAGTGCTAAAATTCTATAGTATATGTAACATGAACTATGGATATTCAGTACTGGCAGTGAATTTCGGAACGCAGCCAGAATAGGGCTACTGGGCGCGTTCAGCGAAAAAAGCTCTTAGTGAGCAATCAGCGATTATTGGTTCTTACTGTTAGATCCCTAAATCTACCAATTACATTGACGAATTGCTCAACTGTTGTGCAACTATTAAGTTCGCTGAACGCATCCACTGAATGCACTCATTGTAAACCAGGCTTTATGGCCGGTATTCATAGTCCGATCTTATATTTAATGGCGTATGGAGATAACCTTTTCCCCCGGAGCCATTACAGAACAGAATAGAACAGATCTTATATTTAAGATCATCTTAAATACTGTCTTAAGATGTCATGAACCAATCACAGAATCGTGTTCGCATCTTAAGACTTTATTTAAGACGGTTTTGAAATAAAATTTGACTATAAATACCAACCTATGTAAGAACCTCAATAAGAACCAAAAATATCATATAATCCGATCTTATATTTAATATCGGCCTATGAATACCGGCCTATAACTCCGCTGTTAGTCTCATCTACACTTCAAAAATAAAGAAAGTGTGTAAGGTGTAACTAAGAATGACCTTTTGTTATGGTTTGGAATACAATTAATTGGGACAAGTTTATTTATCTTTTATATATATGGCTTGTTTGAGTTTAGTCATGTGACAATACAGAATTATGGAAAATTCTGTGACAGATAAAGGTATTAAAAGTGATTTGCTTTCACAATCATATTCCCAGGGTATTGGAAGGTAGGTTAATATTGTATACAATAGTTGTTTCATATATTTAAATATTTCTTTATGCTATTTTATTATAATTATATAGGCATTTATTCTGAATTCTCCTTTGTCCATAAAAATGCTTGTAAATATGACTTATAAGCCTTTTGATTGACTTATAAGCATATTTAGGGCCACTTTTATCAATAAAAGAGTTCAGAATAAGAACTTTGATAAGAAGAAATATTGCTATTGTATTGTTATTTGATGTGCAGGGTTACAGGAACCAAAGGCAGTATTGTTAATTTTCAAATACCTAAAGAAGTTTTGGAGAATCGAATAAAAACATGGAACAGTTTGTTTGATAAATATTCAGAAGAAGTATAGTTATACTTATTCATATTTCTTATTTAAATCTCATATTTGATTTAACTTTAAATTTGTATTTTATTCCCAGATGTCAGATGATATAGAATTAAATATAGAGACTTTAGAGCCTGAAGAAGAAGAAACGGAAGAATTTAGTGAGGAAGAATTCAATTGTGGACGAGTACCTATGCGCAAACCAGCAACATTGGTACAGTACTGGATAAATACTGGTAATACACCTTACAAGATATTTCTTGATAAGGAAGAATTGTCTGAGTCTGGTTCATCTCTAAGTGAAGAAAAAATTACTTCGCCATCATATTCCTTACTTTCAAACAAGGCAAATGAAAGTAATAAACACAAACAGGAGAATGACACATCTTTCAGTTCTGTGGACACAGCAGCTTATATTTTATCAAATGCAAATGTTACAAAGAAAGCAGATACTATAGCTATTATAGAAGGTGCAAAATCGAATGTTATTAAGTCTTCACAAGATGATTGTGTTAAAAATGCAGGGACTATATATAATGATAGAATAACTTGTATAGAAACTGTAGCAACTAACCATTTATTACATAATGAAAGCAGTAACAATATTCCATATAACGATATTTCCCATTCTATTTCAATAAGAAATGTAGTATCAGATACTAATAACCAATTGGTTACTAATACAGTAATATCTGCTAATACAGTACAGTCTGATGTGTCTTCAAAAATTTCAGTTTGTGATACAACAGATAAACCAGATGTATTAAGTGCTAGTCAAAAGAATGTAGATTTACATAATATAGACCATATTGTAACCATTTTTCAACAATTTAACGAAGTATCAAAACGATTGTCCATAGATGATAAAAGTAATGGCACTTTAAGTGAAAGTAAAGCATTGGAAGAACATAGTTTTAACGAAAAACAACAAGTACCGATATCAACGGATATCGCGAAGAAAACCGTTAGGAAAAATGTTAATTTGACGTCGTTTCATCGTAAGAAATTATATACCGGTAGGAATTCCCCTGTAGATTTAATATCAATCAGGAAAAATAGTTCTGATGTAGACAAGCCTACATCACCTGACATGAAATTAAGTTTACATCCTGCATTAGATCCTGACAATTCGATTAGAAACAAATCTCGAATTTTTAAAGATAAGAACAAACGAAATCTTTTCAACAAAAAGACTTTTGGTTCTAAGAAAGTTCAAACTAAAAGAGGCCAAAAATCTTCTGTTTCTAGCAAAAATATTGGTGATGAAGCAGTTGTAACAAATAATAATACTCTAGATTCTCTTGTTGATGACAGTGTACAGAATTTATCGAGTTCCCTCAATGAGGTAGACAAAAGAAGCAGTGATAATTTAATCAGGGATTGTAATGGTACTAACGCATTAATGAAAAACACTATACAAAAATATCCAGTAGTTTACCTGGAGCGAATTACATCTTTCAAGGAAAATAAGTTTAAATCTGTCACGAATAAAGATATCACTCAAGGAAATAGTGTGCACAGTATGCAACATTCAATTGCGTTAAGACGCCTACGCGGCAATCCAATCGAAAATGTGGAATCGGCTGATAGCGACCAAAGTACTATTTTTATTTGCAAATGTAACAATATTGCTTCAGTAGGTTCTTCATCTGTAAGCAGTTCTTTTCATCTAAGACTGAGTACTGAGGACGACTGTTCTGGTATGAGTGCAGAAAAGAAAAATGATAAACTGACGAATTTGAAAAACGTCGATACGAAGCAGAACAAAAAGGCACTCGTAATATTAGAACAATTATCACAATCAGTAATCGAAAGATATATGAAGACAACACAAGCTTTAAATATGAAAGATGATCTTCCTAACAGCTCAAAGAAGCTACCGAACAAGTCCAAAATTCATTCTTCCAACTCATATAGAACGAATATTAAGAATGACGTGAAACTCCGAGAAATGAAAGTTATATTAGAGCGATTACCTGCAGATATGTATCCTAAGAAAAGCAGCAATGCTACAAATATAAACTTTGCTGCAGTTACGGATAAAATTGTACAGGATACAAGTATGAACGATAATAAAAGAAAATCCAAAAATACGATTAAAAACCCGAATCGTGAAAATAAAAGGACTGCTCGAACAATTCGTAAACTCAATAATAATTATTCATTGAGGATACATACCAGATCTAAGATAAGTGACAGTGAAATGAATAACATGTCCAATGATATTGCACAGCATAATCAAATTTCTAATGGAACAGGGTCAAACTTGAAACCTCGATATGGAAATCACGATAGCCAAAACAAACATAAAAAACGTTCAATTTTTTATTTTACTTCATCAGACGAAAATGATTTGGTTCAATTCATACAACCTTCTAAAAAGAGATTAATAGACAAGACAAGCAAAACAGGCAATATTGCAGGAAAAGATTTATATGACGAAGCTACATTAGTTAGTATGAATAAAAACAAATATGACTCTAATAAAAACATAAACACGACGATCTATTTTTCGAAAAAAAATAATTTAAGAAAAATCGATGGATCGATTAGAGAGAAAAATAGAAATAAGGCCGAAATAAAGTTTTCTGATAGTAATGCGACGTCAACTGACCCCTTCTCGATGCGTAAACATGAGAAATTTTCACTCTTCACACACAGAAGTGATCGATGTAATAATCCTATGAAGAATTTAAATGGACGACGTGAGAAATTTTCTGACACTGAGAATATAAGTAACAATAGTGAAATATATCTAAATAAAGCGACAAAGGAAAATAGAATAAATCATAAAAATGATGCTTGCATCACACTCTTTCAAACTAAAACATTTAATATAGAGTCATCGGATTCTGATCAGAGCAACTACGATAACACGTCTGTCCACGAGTCTATCCGTAAGTCGTTAAGAATTGCTTCCGCACATGACAAGGTACAATTGAATGATCATGCCAACAAAGAAAAACTTTATAATAATTCCCACACAAAGACGCACGCCAATAAACAATTGCATCCGTTAAATTCGTTTACTAGAAAATATAACGGTGCAAACAAGACACACAATGCAAAACAGAGATTGAGATCAGTAATTGTCACTGCTGAAACAAACGAACGATTTGACAAAGAGTTTAATAATAATATTAATTTGTGCACTAATACTACAACGAAAGCTATGCCTTATGTTCCTGTCGCGAGTAATACGCGAAGCACACTCATGCAAAAAAATAACGCGATTTTAGATAGTTCCCTTCGAAATAATAGCTCTAATAAATTATTGCGAAATAAGCAGATACCTGAGAATTTTAGTTTAAAAAATTCACAAGCTAATCAAGAACACGGTGTTGAATCAAAGGTAAACAAGTCATTAATGTTTCAAACGAAAATTTATTATGATTCGGATTCGAGCGAATGTTGATAATATTTTCTAAAAATTATAATAAAAAAATTATAAAAATAATATTTTCTAAAATTTATAATAATATTTATTATGGATATTGTATTGATATAAAATTGATAGCATACAAAGAAAATTCTATATGTGTAAGATAATGTTAGATGTGTCAGTTTACAGTGGATTTGAGTATAGTATTTTAAATTCAACTGATTAATTGGGTTAACATATTAGAATTGTGTGTTCAATAGATTGGCGACAGAAAACAAAAGTCAGATTGAATTCTATTCGAGTTCTACATTCTATTCAAATATATTTGAACAGTTACGGAATTGTAAAATCTACCACTACCGTACTCTATTAGTGTAAAGTCTGCTTTGTTATATTATAGTTATATTTCCACTGGTAAGCTATTAATAAAAGTTGTATAGAATATCTTACAAAATTTATATATCTCGATATTTGACTGTCCGGTGATATATGCGGGCCATGTCCGGAATGATTAAGATGTTTTACATATATTATTAAGCGCATTAACTTTAAAGCATTATTGATAAAATACACATTGCTCATATTCATAATACTGATTAATAATGATTATGTTTTGCGAGAATTATTAAAAATTGTGTGAAAATACAACAAATTTAAATTTAAACGGGAATTTTCTCTGTGTACACTATATAAGAATCAAATGTATTTTTTCTTCTTTGAAAATACTATATATCAATATAAATTATATTTTTTCTTCCAAAAAGGCTGCGTTGTAAAATTAAGTGTGTATAAATATAATATTATTTCTAAATATATTATAATACGCGTGTATAAATGTTAATAAGAAAGGGGAAGAAAAAAAAAGAGTTTGACTACCATTATATCAACAAATTTTAATGTCATCGATTCTTTTCATATCATGGATAGTTTTCCTAATATTTTTATCATTTCGATACGAATTTGTAATATTTTCTACTTTTTCCAGCTTTATGTGCGAGATATAATAACTTAAAAAAATACACTTAAAAAATATAAGACATTTGTGTAGTTATATTTAATATAATTACTCTATATTTTTAATATATTTAAGATATATATATATATATATATATATATATATATATATATCAGAGTAAGATTTTTTATTACTATATTTTTCGAATCTTTAAATAAAATCTAAAATAGTACATGTTCTAAAATATAATATAATATAAAATATGATAAAATTATTATATAATTATATGCATGATAAACATGTAGCGTATGTTAAGACATAATTTATATAATTATATAATTATTGTATTTATAAATCATATTTTTAAATGATTTTATCATTAGAACTATAATTATAGTTATAATAATACATAACTATGATTTATAAATATATTTATAAATAATTTATGTAATGTATAATTTCATATATATATATATATATATATATATATATATATATATATATATATATATAT